ATTATTATTTAGACAACTAATAATAATGATTTTAAATTAAACTAAACCTAAAACTAATAATTAAATATAATTAATCAAATAAAAGAAAACCTAGGGAAAAGGGTTCACCTACCGCCTACTCAGTTTAACTCAACCTATAGATATGTGACTTTGGACTTTCATTAATCTCACAACGATTCACCTATTTAAGAACTATTCACTGTCGTGATATAATTTTCTTACTCAAACTACCCCTATGACTACTGTCGTGACTATAGGATTTAATTAGAGTACATTAAGAACTCTAGAATCTATAGCTGCAAAGACGGTGTTCCTACTTTCGTGGCCCACTATCTAAGTCTAATATTCCCATGAACTAGTGCTAACCTTCAACCGTCGTTCCTTCAGTTAAACACCTTTAAAGCATGCAAGTGGTGATTAAATACTCGCATGGAATAAAAACAAGAATATTAAATATCAACTAATGAAAAACTCACAATCATGAATTAAATTAAATTAAATAGTACGACGGCTATATCCAAAACCCTAGATTAAATAATTTAGCTACACATCATCTCAAAAATAAATAAAACAATGAAACCCGGGAGAGAGAAGTCGCAAAATTGAGTCCGGAAATTGATCCAATGCTGCTCCTCTTGGTGATGATGGTGCGTAGGTGATGAGGAGCTGGTCGCGAGGAGGTGTGGAGGGGCTGATGGTGTGTTGCGTGGGTTTTGGTGATGGAAGGTGGGTGCATGAGGTGATGAAGAGGAAACAAGGTGGTGTAGTACGTGGGTTTGGTGATTTGGTGGGTGCGTGAGGTGATGAAGAGGAAACAAGGTGGTGATTCGGTGAATGCGTGAGGTGATGAAGAGGAAACAAGGTGGTGATTCGGTGGGTGCATGAGGTGAGCAAGGAGGAGATGGGCTGATGATGATGATTAAGGTGATGATGATGGGAGAGAGATCTGCGTGATGATGATGAGAGAGAGAGAGGTGGAGGCTAGGGGCTGATGGTGTTGTGGCGTGAGGTTCAGTCTCCCCCCAAAAATAAAACCCTAATCCTCTTTTTATGTGATTTCTCTTGGCACAATGAGTGAGTTGAATATGGCTACGCCAGACTCTTCCAAGGAGTGGTGGTATAACTCTGGGGCTGCTGTTCATGTTTGCACTGATAGGGAGCAATTCAAGAGTTATGTTGATCTTGAGGGACATGAAGTGTTAATGGCTAATGTATGAGAGCCAAGGTTCTTGGAAAAGGTGATGTGCACTAGCAATTCACTTCCGGGAAGAAATTGGTGCTTACTAATGTGCTATACATTCCGCTTTAGTGAAAAACCTTGTATCAGCAGATATCCTTAATAAAAAGGGATTGAAGGTTGTTTTAGAATCCGATAATATTATCTTGTCTAAGAATGGAGTGTTTGTTGGGAAAGGTTACTCTTGTAATGGTATGTTTAAATTAAGTATCAATGAAATGAATAATGCTTCTATTTATTTGATTGAGTCTTCCTATTCTCTTTGGCATAGTAGATTAGGATATGTAAGTCATAAAATAATTTTTTTATATGTCTAAAAATGGACTAAAAAATTCTAATGACTTAGAGAATAAGAATTGTGAAATTTGTGTGCAACCAAAAATTACTAAATTACCTTTTTCTAAAGTTGAAAGAAATACATCTTTGCTTGATTTAGTGCATTCGGTTGTATGCGAACTTAATGGTGTATTAACAAGGGGTGGTAGTAAATACTTTGCAACTTTTATGGATGATTGTTCTCGTTTTGTGCATGTTTATCTATTAAAAAGTAAGCATGAAGTATTTGCTATGTTTCAAGCATACAAATCTCTTGTTGAAAATCAATTAAATCGGGAAATCAAAATTTTGAGAAGTGATAGAGGAGGTGAATATTTCTCAAATGAATTCTCAAAATTCTATGAAGATAATGGAATAGCACATCAAAGCAGTGCTCCTTATACACCACAACAAAAAGGTTTGGCTGAACGAAAAAATATAACTCTTTGTGACATGGTAAATTCTATGCTTGTGAGTTTTGACCTGCCAAATAATTTATGAGGAGAAGCTTTGTTGACTGCATGTCATTTGCATAATCGAATTCCATCCATAAAGACTAAAGTATCTCCGTATGTGTTATGGAAGGGAAGAAAACCAAACTTGAACTATATTAAAGTTTGGGGGTGTGTGGCCTATTATAGAGTCCCGGATAATAAAAGGACAAAATTAAGACCTAGAGCACTTAAAAGTGTGTTTGTTGGTTATGCTAAAAATTCTAAGGCCTACAGACTACTTGATGTTGTTTCTAATGTAATAATAGAGTCAAGAGAAGTTCAATTTTTTGAGAATTTGTTTCTTAAAGATTCTAAAATGAGTGGTGTTCCATCAAGTGAGCTTGGTTCACAAAATGTGGTAAAACCTAATAGTTCTTCAAGTGAATTAAAAAGGAAGAATGATGAATCTCCTATTGAGATTGGAAGAATCCAAAGGCAAAGAAAAGTAAAACAAGTGCCTTCAGATTTTATATCTTCTCAGGCCTTAGTCTTCCTCGTTGAAGGCAATAAGGATTCTCTACTTAATAAAATTCCGATTTTACTTAGTGTAGAGGAAGATCCAAAGACCTATAAAACGAATTTTAGAGATGCTCCTTTTTGGAAAGAAGCAGTCAATGATGAAATGGACTCAATTTTATCCAATAATACCTAGGTCCTAGTTTACTTACCTTGGGGTTCGAGACCTATTGGTTGTAAATGGGTCTTTCGCCGAAAGTATGCTACTAATGGAATTGTACTTACTTATAAGGCTCGTTTAGTAGCTAAAGGTTTTAAACAACGAGAAGGGGTTGACTATTTTGATACATATGCATCGGTGGCTGGAATTATTTCGATTCGTTTGCTTTTAGCCTTAGCCTCTATTTATGGCTTTCCCGTACATCAAATGGATGTTAAAACGGTATTTTTAAATGGTGATCTTGATGAGGAGGTGTATATGGAACAACCAGAAGGCTTTGTGCTACCTGGAAATAAAAACAAAGTATGTAAACTAGTGAAATCACTATATGGACTCAAACAAGCTCCTAAACAGTGGCATGAGAAGTTTGAGTCAGTTTTACTTTAACATGGTTTTAGATTTAATCATGCTGACAAGTCAATGTATACCAAAGTGTGTGAAGAGTATATAGTAATTATATGCTTATATGTCGATGATATGCTCATCGTGAGTACCACTATGAAAGGTGTGGTTGATACTAAAAAGTATCTCTCTTGTAGGTTCAACATGAAAGACCTTGGTGAAGTAGATACAATTTTAGACATTAAAGTTAGACGTCATAGTGGAGGTTTTGTGCTTTCTCAATAATATTATGTTGATAAGATTCTAGATAAATACCAACATATGAACGTGAAAGAAGTTTCTACTCCTTTCAAGCTCTAAACTATGTGATAATAAAGGCAATCTAGTGGCGCAACTTGAGTATGCTAGTATGCAATGAGTTGTACAAGACCAGACATCTTTTATGCAGTGTGTAAACTTGCTAGGTTTACGAAGTGTCCAGGTAGAGAGCATTGGAAAGCTGTCTCTAGAGTCTTGGGATATCTTAAACGAAGTAAAGATTTAGGACTCTACTACAAACGTTTTCCTTGTGTTCTTGAAAGATATACTGATGCTAGTTGGATGAATAATAGTAAAGAGAAAAAATCAACTAGTGGTTGGGTATTTTTACTCGGTGGTGGTGTCGTTTCTTGGGCCTCAAAGAAACAGACCGTTATAACTCATTCCACAATAGAATCTGAGTTATTGTACTATCTGCAGCTTGTAGGGAAGCAGAATGGCTAAGGGATCTTTTGTTAGATCTTTATATTTGGCCTAAACCAATGTCGCCAATCACCTTAAATTGTGATAATGAGACATCCATGTCTAAAGTATTGAACAAAGTATACAATGGTAAATCTAGGCCTATAAGTTTGAGGCATTCATACATTCGTGAAATGTTGAATAATGATGTTGTCTCAATTATGTTTGTGAGAACACACAAAAATTTAGCGGATCCGTTTACTAAACCTCTTGCGAGAGAGTTGGTAAGTTCGACAACATCCGGAATGGGATTAAAACCTTATATCTAAAATTATCAACAATGGAACTCAACCTTCTTCTAGCACATTATTAGATTGAAAGGTTTAATGGGTAACAACAAGTTGTTAGGTAATTGTGAGTACCTAATTAGTGTGTAGAGCATTCCAAGTATTGGTGCAATTTGTTACTCTTAAGTTGAGATTAATCTCTTAATGAAATTATTCCACCGCGTTTGATTATGGTTAAGTAAAAAAACTGGAATAAATTTCACCTATTTGATCATAGAAGTGGTACCGTTTCTAGCAAAAGTTTGGGATTATCTCTTGTATATGGTCAAGAAACTAGGATGAGCACATGGCCAGTATTAGTGCTAAAATAGTGTGAATTATAAGGAATGATGCGAGAAGTTTATATGTGGAAAATGAAGTCTAATTTAGTTGATGGTTGGTTTAAGCAACGCGCCACCAATTAACTTAGTTATATTTGTGACTATTTTTTACTATGGTGTGGTTTAAGACGAAAGTCACCGCTTGTTATGTATGATTCCCAATTTTGTGGTGTTTATATCATAAACTAATTAATGGGAGAATATTGAAAATAGTGGGGGATTGTTAAATATTTTCAATGATTTGTGAGTTAGATATTACAGACAAAACATTGGTTACAACTATTCAATGCAAGATATCATCTTGTAAGATAAAGAAAAGTTGTCTTCATTGAATTTTAAGTTATTAAAGATGGTTTTATAACTTAGGATAATAATTTAATGCTGAAGATGAGTTGTGACAGTTCCAACTTTGCAAGACTGCAAGTGTCTTGCATTCTTTATATATAATGTATCCCATTTAGTGTTTTTAAAACGTGTGTAAAACTTACTTTAGTAACACCTTTTCTTTTAGTGAAACACAAAACAATGCATTCCTAAATTCTTAAGAGTGACCAATACCTTGCAAATTGTTAGCTCTAGTTGTTTTTCATATTCTAGGGACAAGTTGCCACTCTCAATTCGATTGCAAGTATAGTGGAGACAAATATTATCTTAAGGAAAGTGTTTAACACGCCTAGAACATAATCCTTTGAGTGATTTTTTTTTTTCATCCTTCCTAAATTTTGACAATATATCTTTGTATCAATATTTGGTACTTGTGCCATTTTATTGTGTTGTTGACTTCAGTAAATTGTCCATTCTAAATCTCCCAATTCTTCATGCAATCTATCACCAAAAGGTAGTATAAATCTTAGCTTCCTCTTTTTACCCAAAAAAAGGGATCCCTTCAACTACATTCCCATTTTTTTTCCCATGAATTCAAAGACCCCAAAATCTATATATATATATATATATATATATATATATATATATATATATACTTACTATGTCCTAAAATTATATATTGTCCTGGTTGAATTTTTATTTTTTATTCATTTTGTACTAAAAATAAAAATCTAAACTGGACAATAAATTCAGGACAGAAGTAATAAAAGAAAGAAAAACTTCCATTTTGCTCCGAATCAAGACTAACTTGAGGGTGGCGGCAGCTTCCAAGACTTCCGACAGGCATCATAAACTGACCATTTGAATTCACTAATATTATATGCTACAGGATCTCTTGAGTACTGATTGATGAACATCTTCCAATCTCTTATAACTTTGGTTAAGTCTGAAACCTTTGCACCAATAGTCTTGCAGCAATTTGCATGAACCGTGATCACTTTTCTTACATCATTGCTGTTTCGACAAAACCCACTAAAATAAAGGGTGTCCAGAAACCTTAGTGTGAGACCTAATTTGTTGGTGGCAGTTCCTTCCGCAATCAAACCTTCCAAAACATCTTGTTCTTTCATGCCGGTTGAATTTGTTCTTCGGCCGTACCATGTTTCGAATAATGCTATGGTTTTGTTGTTAGATGTAACGTAATAAAATCCAGTGTTGATGCGGTTCTTTGTGGATCTCGGATTGCCTTTGAATCTGTCTGTACTGATTAGCAAGTCATTGGTTTCATTGAAATTTTTCAGTATTGGGAATGGATCCCTTAGCCATATTACATCCGTATCCTGCAGAAACAAACTTTATACATAAAAATAAAATTCACCATCAAAATCAAATAGTTGCACACCAAGTTTACTAATCCATTCCGGATGCAAAAAATTTCTGATGATTCAAATGATTTCTTAATAAATTTTAGATTTTTCTCGGTCTTACAATATCGATAGCTCAAATAGCGCAAGACATTTTATTCGAGTTCGGAATTTGAGCTCAAATAGCTCAAATTTTAGTGATATATTTGAGTTCGGAATTTTATTCTGTTCCGTGATATGTCCGATATTAGAATTATGTCATTATAGGATTATTAATCTTTTTGGCAGTTGTTTTGGTCTAGTCACTGGTGCAGTGACTAGTACCGTGAGTACGTCATTCGGACGGTTCGAGTACGTCATTTTGAACGGTCTGTTCTTGTATCAAATGGTGCCGGACCATTTCCAGTAATCTTAATAGAGTATGTTTTTCTTAAAAAAAAAATAGCGCAAGACATTTGAGCAATAATGAGATTTAAAGGTATGTATGGCTACGGTTTGTAATTGGCGGGTTTTGATCAATCCAAAACAATTTAAAAGGCTACATTACTATACAATGTCAGTTCAAATCAGTGAATCAATAATTCACTAAAGTAAATTACTAAGGAACTCACGCTACGTAGGATACGTGTATTACATGCATTACTTGTAAACCCAACCTTACAACGCATATATTGAAAAGAAAATTGAGATTGATGCGAAAAATTTTAATATTGTCTTTATATAAGTAAGCTTTATTGACCTTGTCCGCTTCTTCTTTTTATTCTTTTATTTTTCTCATAAAACAATTGTCATGCTTGATAGAAGAAGGCACCTTCACTAACAATTTAGTGGAAATGATACATTATTTTCTAGCACATTACCTTATTAGTTAAAAGTTGGACGTTTGTCTATTCTATTATATATTTTTGTCGTTTTAATAGAAGAGAGAAATATGGAACGCTAAATTTAACAGAAATAAATTAACTTTGCATTCACATTTCTTTTTCTTTTTTTTTTGGAGATTAAATATTGATAGACATAGTGCATCTGATATTGATAGACATAGTGCTCTCTTTTAGAGAAAAATAAAGGGTCGCTTTCGGAGGTAATAATCTTCCAACGTCGCGTCTTTTCCTAATGTCCTTTCCTCAAGTGATGTGTCCCAAAATTATATGTTTTACATAACTAAAGTCTTCTTATTAATTAATGTACTCCCTCTGTTCCAAAATTATTGTACAGTTTGAGATTTCACTTAATACAATTTGAACTAGAATGAAAACCCAAACTGGACAATAATTATGGGATGGAGGGAGTATTAATTTTTTTTGCTGGCAAAATTCTTCACCATTTAAAAAAATCAAAACTTTTCACTGTTCAAAATAATAAAGCTAAACATATTTCTGAAAACAAAAAGTACACCGACAATCCCAGTATTCCAAATATTATACTCCTTCTGTCTTGAAATTATCATCCAGTTTTGATTTTTATTTTTAGGACAAATTGAACTATAAATAAAAATTAAAATTGTATAATAATTTTGAGAGAGAAGGAGTAATTACTATCGCATCAATGTGATCAGTTTTAGGCAGCAGATTTGGACACTGGATATATAAATGAAATGCATAATTTCGTCCCAACCATTCCTAATCATTTGATTAGAATATACAGTGTGTATAAAAGATTTACAGAAAACTGGCTATATATGAAGGCATTCATAATCTGGCAAACGGAATCAAACAAATACTCTGAATTACTATTTTAAACTGTTCCCATTTTAACTTATAATCACTGAAACCCTTTTCATTGATTAAACATGCATATTAAATTCTAATAATAACTTATATATGTAGTGAAATGCATCTTAATTATTGTATTATTTAGGGAGGAAAAAAAAAGAAGAAAAACTTACTGTGAAGATGAAGTTGTAACCTCTCTTGAGAACATTAAGAAGGAAACCCGTCCTAGCCCACATCATTGTGATGAAATCTTCAGACATGTAGAGCTTTTCTTCCCCAAAATCGACGCCTTTGGTCGTTAATCTGTAGCAGTTCAACCGCCTAAATATACATCGATTGTAGGCCGTTTGATCCATGGAAACTACCAACAAATGATTGAGCAAAGATTGTGTTTCTTCTCCAACCCAAAAACCCTCGAGAAAGATATCAAACATGGTCGGATATTGATCGTGATACTGCTCAACATAAGCTTTGTTCACTATGGTTATGATCACCGTCTTGTCCTTCGTAGAAGCCCTGAACAACGCTTCTTCCAGTTTGTCACTAAATCGTGTGATATTTGGCTGCAAAAAAAAATTAAATTAAATTAAACATTTGAAATTCACTTACAACTTCAGAAGAGAAAAGAAAAAGATGAGGAAGAGAGATATTCATATGCTTACATTATGATTTTCCCTTGCGACGGTGACATCAAATTTTCTAGATATTAGGCCGGGACCCTGTGGATGAAACGGAATGGTGGCCACAAAGAAAAGAAAGAGGAGTATTAGACTGCTAACAAAGTAGTTCTTGGTTGTAAGTTCCATGTTCACAAATATGCAAAAAAATCTTGGAATATTTTGGGGGAAGAATATGTATATATGTATATATAGTCGGTCATATGGAAAAGTCAAGCAAACTAAGAATATTCATTCTGCAAGTAATGTCGTGTTTGGAAAAGTAACGCAAACGGACGATGGTGACCTAATATTGGTAATAAAATTTGTGGATACGAGTTTTATGTATCCATTCAAAATTTTCTTTGGCATATGGTTAAGTAGCTAGCATTCTTACCCTCTCCATCTCAGGGTTTTATAGACTAAGATTTGAACAATGAGAGGAAAAAAAAAAAAGAAAACTTAATTTAGACGTAATTTAATTGGCTGAAATTTGGCTAATTTGTGAAGGAAAAGGCCTTCGAGAGTTGAAGACAAATAAAAAAAGGTTTTCAATCCAAAATTTATGACTAGTTTTTTGCCATTATGTGTTTGAGGCGTTGAGCTATAATATTTTGAAATTGATGAGTTTTTTTACTTCTTGTCTGATGAGTGAGGATGCAGTGCTACTCTAAACTCTAAAGAATATAAATATGATGTCAATCGGAGAGGGAAAGAAACATAGGTTTTTTTTTTTTTTTTTTTTGCAATTTTTGTTTCTCTTATGCATTCTTTAGGTTTTAGATTAAGTTAACCACTATTTTCCAATTTTCATCTTTGTCATTTTGGTTCTACGCACAGTTATTGACACTCTAGTGAACTAATTCATGTTTAATTTCCCCCAAACAAAAAAAAGGAGAAGCAAGTTTTGATGTCATGCCAACTAATTTAACTACTATGATCAAGATTTTATTTCCTTCTTTTAAGTTTATACATTTTAAATTTCCCTTATTATTTAAAAAATAAAATTGCACTCGCGAGTTATAACGATTCTGTATGAGATATTTCAGTCATATTTTATGGCTACTAAACGGAGAGGGTCCTGGAAATCTGGATCTCAATGTGAGGAAAAAAGAATAGTCAATTATGTGATTGTATGATAAGAGTAAAATTGACATACCATTTTTATTAAGACCATTTCACAACTTAAAAAACTAAAATTAAGACAATTTCACTGAAGAGATTGTAACAAAGCCGTTTCAGAACCTGGATCCAACCCAACGAAAGGTACCATACGATTAATAAACATAGTGTATGTCCATAGGACATCTGAGGTTTCATAAGCAGACTCATTTAGATTTCTGGGCTAGACTCAGCAGGATTCTTGGGCGAAATGCCCGTCTCGTTGCCTGCATCTCTAGGCTTAAACAAAAAATAAACATGTAGTAAACCTTTATAAACTAATATATTTGGACATTCAAAATTTCATTAATTTATTACAGTGTCATTAATGATTAATAATTCATTAATAAAAAAAAAACAAAACATTATTTTTGCAATAAGAAAAGTTGGTTTCAACCCTATTTATATTATTATAAGTTTCCTAATAAAACAAGAAGATGATAAATTCAAACATAAAAAAAACAATCCTGCTAAAATCAAAGTTAATCGTCAAATCTTTTTTTATTTTATTTATTTATTAATTTATCAAATTTGAGGGACTTGAATTTATGCGGAAGATTCACGAAAAATTAGTATCTTATTAAATTAATTGAGTTTTTAATTTTATTTTTATTTTTTTGTATTGATCCCAAGTTGAGACCGGAAAAAAATATTATTTCATGAAGGTTATTAGTTTATAAAGAATTAATTTAGAGAGGTTTTACTGTTTAATATAAAATTCTACCCATTAAATTATTTGGAAGAGAAGGAGTAACTAATAAGATTGAACGGTCAATCTTGTGGAGATTATGTATGTAGGCAATATAGTCTTCCCATCCCCGCCAGATTTTGTAGTTCGTCTCAATTTGTCGGTATGAATTACAGTAAGATTAAGAACATGTTATTGGACTATTCTCATAATTGTTTATTGGGGGCAGTTGATCTGTAACAACGCAGAACAGCTGTTTCATGTGACAAAAATTATTTGGAAAAGTCAATGAAGATTTTTCGAACTCGATAGCGATACTATGACCTGCAAGTTGTCAGTTGTGTACTATTTAAAGGGAAATGGGAAGGTTTGGAGAAAAATTCGTGTTACATTTCCGAACATGATAGTGATTTACATATAATTAACCTATATAAAAAACGAAATTTATATCACTTGTTTGTATTTTTGTTGTTGAATATAGTGCATAATTAATGAACGATGTACAATTGGAGCGGGAAAATTGATATGAGTAATAAGAGTAGGTATTACAATCACGAAATAATGAGTTGAAATCCGACAAATACGATTAAAAAAAAAAAAAAGAAAGAAAGAAAGTTTAATCACTTCACTTGAGGCTTCAAATGCAATTGATGCAATACAATAAAGTCTACTATGCGTAGAATACATTTGAATGTAACCATATGAGTTTTATAGTGTAAATCAAAAGGGGGAAAAACCCAAAGATTAAAAAATTGAAGTATACTGTCAAGTAAGTACTATAATATAAGTGCAATTTATTGACACTACTAAAAGACTACAAATTCCCATGGATTCCTCTAGTCTCTTTCTCCTCACCAGTCACCAAAGACCGAATGTTCTTCCTTCTTCCTCCCCAAGACAATTTGTGCATATTTACCAACATGGTTTTCATCACAAAAAACTATCCTGCAGTTAGCACTATCGCTCTTCTCCTTCTATTCTTACACTACAAGAAAAACCCCCATTTAGTGACTGGTTCATCTTTTGACGCCAAAAAAGTGATCACTAAAGGCACTTTTTAATGACGTGAATTTCGGTGGTCATAACTAGTCGTCACTGCTGTTGGTTTTAACGACGAAACATATATAGTGGCCCCAAAGTCGTCACAAAAAGCAAGGTGAAAGCCGATGACCAAATTCAGTGACTATTTTTTATGACGACTTTTGTCATCGTCGTTGTGAAAATTGGGATTAGATGCATTGTGACGCAATACTATCGTCGCGAACACACTATTAATGTACGGACGACAAAAAGTCGTCACTAAATATTTTTTGTAGCTAACAAAATACAAGTAAAAAACTTAGACGGGATAAAAATGCTATAATACCTCGTAATGTAACTAAAAAAGTCGAGCACTATATACAAATTTGGATACCACATATTGAATTAAAAATAAAAAAATTCATATTCCCCAAAACTAAAATTATAAAAGTTTGTGTTATGTGGTAATATGAGCAAAGAGTAACCAAATTAACTAAAAAAAAAATATACATACATATATATATATATAAAAGCTCATCATAGTCAATCACTTGTGTCAGATGATTCTTCACTATCATAATCATCATTTTCATCATTTTCATCATTGGCACTGGCGTGGAATGGATCAACATCATCTTTTTCATCATTAACATCTGATAAATCAACCATTTGCAATGAAGGGTCTTCAGTTTCTAAATCCACAACCAATTCAATTTCTGGATCTTCTTCTTGGGATATTTCTTCACTCATTTCATCATCTTCAAGGTCGGGAAGATCATATGAGTTCCGAGGATTAAATCTCTGGACAACAAACCAATTACCACCCAATTTAATATCTTTCATATAGAAAACTTGTTTAGCCTGGGTTGCAAGAATGTATGGTTGGTCCTTGTACCATTTTCTTGAAAAATTCACACTGATCATTCCTGATTCTTTATCAACTTGCATACCCAATGAATCTACCATATTCCACCAATCACACTGGAATAAAACCAATTTTCTTTTTCCAACAAGATATTCGACCTCTATGATGTCTTGTAGAACACCATAAAAGTCGACTGTGTTGTTCCCATGCATGCCTTGAACAACTATCCCACTATTTTGTTTCTTCCGTTCTTTTTCACGAGATTGGGTATGAAATCTATATCCATTCACCATGCATCCAGTATATCGTGTAACTCGATCATCTGGTCCCAATGCTAAGGATCGTAGTTCATCATCGCTTGTACCACTTGAAGACGTAATCTAGGGAAAAAAAAAGTCACAAAGTGATATTGCAAACTAAGTGTAAAATAAGATTAAATAATAATTATAAGTAACTATATTCACTTACAAGTTGGCGAAACCAATAAGGAAATTCTTGTTCATGCCTTTGATCTATGTTCGCAAAATCGTCCTGCTCGAGCAACTTTTTATGCTGCCTAAAATAACAAAAAAGGAAGCTATGTAAAAATATTAAAATCGTTATAACTATTTCATGAGAAAACATAGTTAGTACTTACTCTGCATAGTCCTGAATATCATCACAGCTATTTAACACATACGCATGTATTTTGGCTAATTCTGAAGTTGCCAAGGATCCAAGTTTTGCCGCACCAAACGGACGTGCTGTACAAGAGAATACATCATATTTTCCTCCAGCTTTTGGTCTGTCGTTGTTCCGCTCAACTCTATTGAACGTTGTATCAACATCATTCAAATACATTGAGCAAAAAGCAAGACATTCCGTTGCTATGTAACGCTCGGCAATGCAGCCTTCTGGTCGAGCATTATTATTGATGTATCCCTTCAAGGTCCCCATTTTCCTAATAAAATGAAGCCAAAATGATTTATAAATTTGTGAAATAATTTTAGCTAAAATATATAACCACAAAAAATATACCCCTCAAAAGGATACATCCATCGAAATTGTGGTGGACCAGCGATCTTTGTTTCTGAAGGTAAGTGTACCAGTAGATGCACCATTATGTCGAAGAAAGAGGGAGGGAATAATTTCTCCATCTTGCATAATATGATTGCAATTTTTTTTTTCTTTTGCTTCTAAAAGATCTCGATAAGAAGTCCTTGAGCATAACGTCGTGATAAAAGCACTAAGGCCACATATTATTTGCCGAACCTCCTTTGTCAAACAACCTCTAACTGCAACAGGTAGAATCCGCTGAATTAAAATATGAAAATCATGACTTTTCTTGGCAGACATTTGAAAATTTGCACCCTTTATGCAACGGGTAATGTTTGAAGCGAATCCATCAGGGCACTTGATTGATGACAAAAAATCAACAACTTTTGCCATCTCCTCTTTAGTCAGATGGTAAGACGCCACAGGCATTACAGAAGAGTCACCCTTTTCCCTTAGATGTAAGTGTCGTTTAAGTTTTAGCTTCATCAAATCCTCCCGACAGCCCCATGTGTCCTTTGTCTTACCAGCAATGTTCATGATTGTGCCAATCAAACTCTCAACAACATTTTTTATTACGTGCATGATGTCAATATTATGCCTCAGTTTCAAATCTTTCCAATATGGCAGCTCAAAGAAAACACTTCTCTTTGTCCATTTCATCTTTTCTTTTATATTCTGCTTTGGTTGCCGCTTCCTTTTACCCTTTGGTTGTGCTTCTTCAACCTCCTTTTTTTCCCTTTCCAAATGCAGGAAATTCATGTCTGAGGACTTCCAACTCATTTTGAATGGCTTCTCCAGACTTAGGTAACACCGGACCTCTAACCTCGATTGTTCCATCAAATGCATTTTTCTCTTTTCGCCAATGATGATTTGTTGGCAAAAACCTGCGATGCCCCATGTAACACACTTTTCCACTCTTCTTAAAATAATCACAAGTTGTATCATTCATGCATACAAGGCAAGCATTGTATCCTTTTGTGCTCCAACCAGATAACATAGCATAAGCCGGAAAATCATTAATTGTCCATAACAATGATGCACGCAGTGTAAAATTTTCCTTTTTATAGGCATCATAAGCTTCAACGCCATGCCACAACTCAATCAACTCATCAATCAAGGGTTGCAAATATACATCAATATCATTTGTTGGAGACCCAGGTCCAGAAATTAACATTGACATTATTGAAAATTGATCTTTCATGCATTTCCATGGTGGCAAATTGTAAGGAACAAGGAACACAGGCCACATAGTATAGCTGTTGCTCATATCAAATGGATTGCATCCATCAGAGGCAAGGCCTAACCTTATATTGCGCGGGTCTTTTGCAAAATCTCCATGGACCATATCAAAGTGTTTCCAAGCTTCACTGTCTGCAGGATGTCGCATGATGTTGTCATCTTTAGCATTTCATTTTTCAGCATGCCACCTCATATCGAAAGCCACTTCCTTGTTCATGAACAATGTACGAAGCCTAGGTTTCAAAAGAAAATACCGGAGGACCTTACGAGGTACTTTTGAATTCTCCGATTTGTACCTTGGTTCTCTGCATCTTTTATTTGGACATATGGTGTGAGACTCATACTCCTTGCAATAAAGAACACAATCATTGACACATGCATAAATCTTTTCATATTTAAACCCCAAATCTCAAATAACCTTTTTTGCTTCATAATAACATGGTGGAATTGAAGCTTCAATGGGAAGGGTTTTCTTGAATACTCCAAGCAAAGCATCAAAAGAATTGTCTGTCCAACCATACATAGTCTTCATATGAAGGAGAGTGACAATGAATGACAATCTGGTGTAGTTCTCGCAACCCGGGTATAGTTCTTTCTTTGATTCTTGCAGTAATCTCATTACTTCATTTGCATATGCTCCTCCAGTATTTTCATCTATATCATTATTCATCAAATTTTCCCTACAAGTAGCTTGCTCAAAATCATTTAGCATTTCTTCCAAATCACCGTCTTCATCGTCATCGTCATCGTCCTCCTCTAATACATTGTTTGGACCTTTATCATCTTCAGGTGGTTCACCATGGAACACCCACCTAACATAACTCCTACATATCCCATTGATAAATAAGTGCTTCCAGATAACCATTCTTGTTTTGTTGAAGTAATTATTGTACACTTTACATGGACAAGGGATTGTTTCTGAATCATCCTTATCACTATATGCAAAATCCAAAAATGCATCCACGCTTCGTTCATAGCGTTCATCCATTTTATCTGTGATCTGTATCCAAGACCTATCCATTTTCTGCAACAAATTCAAATCCTCTTTCGAATGAAAAGATTAAGGCATTTACAAAATTTTATATCCCTACTTAAAAGCTAACTTGATATGATAAATGAATCTACCATGCATATCGGTGAAAAATTCATTCAATTTTGATAATTAATTAGGGCAACCACCATATATAGATTTGTAGCTAATAGAGTAACAATAATAAATTGTAGAAATAAATTCATGTTTGATTACTTTTAGTTTTATCATACACTTGGAGATAACAACAAACACTTGTTGTGCATTATATCTACTGGTTTCAAATTTTCACTTAAACTATATCATTGGATAAATGGTATAGTAATCAAAGGAAAAAATTCTTCGATAACCCAAAACAAAATAAAAACTAAAAACAACTTAACTTAATATTTAAGAACAAAGATTAGAAGCTTGAATATGCACTTGCAACCTCAGAATATTAAGTCTATTTACCTGAAACTGTAGCTTCAATGAAACCCCAAAAATGATGGCTAAGTTGGTGCGGTCAATTTTGACTTAATATAATGATAAAATTGAAAGCTTGTTGGTTTAAAATGTATGAAACCGAATGTTAAAGCTAAAAGCTTGTTGGTTTAAAATCTATGAAACGGAAAACTTGGCCGCAAAGAACAAACCTTAAGCAACTTTTATATTAACTAATCCTAAAAAATCAACTCTCGCCCTATATAGCACAATTAAACAATTAAATGAATAATGAGTTTAATTAAATGAATAACGATCTGTCATAAAATTGAAACAAGCATAACCAAATGTTTATAGATCAATTCCCTTACATCAGGAAAATTTAGGCAACAGTATAACCATAACTAAAATAATATGAAAATATGGAATGTCTCATAACGTGCATCAAATTTGAAACAATTAACTAAAAAGAAGAACATATCAAATGAAGCCTTTGCCCAACCAAAGCAGAATACTCCTGAAATAGCTGATGATCGAAGTCCGTCCCCAGCCAAATCTTCTTATCGTTTGCGTTTGATTCACTGTTTGTAGTACACAATTCATGAGCAACCAAAAGGAAAAAAATTTTTTGGTATTTATCGATCAACATCTGACATTAAGTAATACTTTGTTTAAAAAACTTACCTTATTTTGAGATGGATTTTGTAAGAGCATAAGTTTATCAACTTGACTTTTTAGTGCTTCATATCTGTCCTCATTTACCCTTTGCCGATCTTCTAATTTCTTATATTCTTCTGTAGTAGCTGCAAATTTTTCAGCCAGCTGCTCCTTTTCTCTCTCAGCTTCATCAGCTCTTTCCTTCTCTTTCTCAGTCTCCATACGACTTTTCTCCAAAGCTACAACTTGTTTCTTGGGTATGGATCGTCCACGTGTATTACACGGTATACTTTTGATCACTTGTAGACAGAGTTGAGATGAGGGCAAGTTAGTAGTTTTGCGCAAGTTTTTCAATGTTTCCTAGAGTTACAAAATGAAAAGGTTAATTCAATGTTAGGTTCAAACAAACGCAACATAAATAATAAAATCTGAAGGGGGAACTTATCTTAAACGACATCCAATGGAAAGAAAAAAACCCCAAAAAAGTTTGAATAAGTTTTATTGACTAATTACCAGTGTTTGTGCTGATTCCTCACTATTCATAGCACTTTTTTTTCAGAGTAATTGGCTTGCGCATAAGCATCAATACAGTCAACATGCCTTTTCTCATTTTTCCTCTGAAATCGAAGAATTATGGTTGTTAGATAGATATAATTGGAAGCAAAAATAGCGTACTAAAAGAATAGAACTAAAGAATGTAATTAAGTAAATTTGATCCACATACTATTTCTTCCAATTTCCTTGCAACAGATTTGGTTCCATTTGTATTTGTAGTTGTAAGATGTGAGCGATTCGCAGCATTTCTTGTACATAATTTCTATCAAGAATAAAACAAAAAAAGAAAAAGAAAAAAAAAAGATGTCAAACTCTTTTTTCAGTTATCGTTTTATAAATGAACAATAAAAAAGCATATAATTTCATTATTCATTTCAGACAAACCTTGAAGTTATTAGAGTAAAAAACATCACATATTTTAACTCAATCGTGCACATCAACTCCATCAAGAACATGCAGCAACGCTTCTACCTTTGATCCATGTTCTTTGAAAACTTTATGCAAATGGTACTTATGAGTCTTAAACATTTTGATCAATTGCTTGTGAATGCATTCTTTTGCTAATGGGTCATCCTCAAACTGGAACCTTACCTATATAATGAAAGATGCCAATTAATTTCAACAACGAGATTAAAAAAAATATAAATGAATGTATGTGAAAAAATGTAAAGAATATCGAGGCATTCTTAATGATTTCATTTTTCAATATCTCATCCTGGGTCTGAAAATTGCTTTTCGTGAAGTTCGCCATTTTGCGCACACAACAACCCAATTCATTGATGAAATCTTGGGCACCTGGGCCAATTATACATTTTGCTTCTTCATCAAAATAAACCAAAGACAACTTGTCCGCATCCTTCATGTTAGCCAGCCGAAGGTTTCTCGTAGGACCTCTCTTAGCTGAAACGCCTTATATTTTGTTTACATCAGAACAAGAAAAAAAATCACACTGTACTATTGATTAAAAAAGATTAAATTATACAAGCCATAGCTGTCATTTTATAACCATTATAATTTCCTTACTGGTTGCATGGGGGGACTTCAACAGGGAAAGAAAATTTGGCAAATTTGGCACAAACACTCACGTGCAAGCAAACCCCACTCACACAGACAAAACTAACGCTAAGTACCTTGTATATAAAATCGAAAATAATAGTCATCAACCTTTTCAAGTAATACTCATAGCACCAGATTTTTAAGTTAGACACTAACCTTTAGAAGTTTGACCTTTCGAAACTTGTTGAGTGTCATTATGAAATTGATCATACATGACATTCTCATCATAGTTTTGATCATCTTCAGTATTTCCAATTGATTCTACTGTTGGTTGGGCACCATTGGTACAAGGTGTAGTTGCTAATGCAAGTGGACGCTTGTCTCCAAGATTTCTATTGCTTCTTCTTGGTGTTGATTGTAGATCTATGCTTATTTCTTCATCTCTCAAATTAAATCCACGGGTAGTTGATGCTGGTGGGAGTTGTACGCGTTTACCCGTTGAGATGCGTTTTTGATTTTGTTCATCTATGGTTGTTGATACTCCCTTCTTCCGCTTCCCCGGTCCGGACATCTTCATATACAATCATAGGGTAAGAAACTACATCTTCATATACAATCACGTGTACATAAGATATGTGAAAAACTACATCTCCAGAAAAAAGAAAGAACCAAGAACAACATCGGATTGACAACCTTGTGGCGTAAATTTTAACCGATGCAATCAACTTCCACACATGTAAAAATATTTTCGATATCCTATCGAACAACATTTTTATTTCCTTCTAAGAATAAAGAAATGATGTAGGAGTAGATTCATACCTTTTTCACAATACTCTAATCCTTTTTCCTTACCGTATCTGTGATTGGAACAAACAATAATTTGTTAAAAGAAAAAGTTAATACTAAACTAATCGGAACATAATGACGGAGAAATCAATATGCGATCATAAATAAAATAGAAGTTCAAGATGGAATATGGTTCTCAGATTCAACTCCCACTAACCTTAATCGACTTGTACGTGGATAAGTTATGCGGCATAATTGATTTTATATCTCTTTGGGTTATAATGGGGGAATGGTTTTTGGGGGAAGTTGGAAGTTTATTGCGGGGAATTTGAAGTTTTATTTCGTTTATAACTCTGGTTTTTTATGATTTTACATTTATTTTCCCTCCAATAAACTAAATTTCCCTCCAATTAAATTTAGTCACATGCCGTATATGTACTGATGACAATTATACTTAAAGCAGAATACTTCAACAATTAGGTAAATAGAAGGTAATTTCTTTTTTCTTTTTTCTTGTATTTTTTTGATGTAAGGCAACTTCTTATTTATTTGTTTACAATTAAATCTCTGTTGTTTTCGCAGACACCATCATCTAAATTTACAATTACGAATACATAATTAGTGATTCTAGTTATACATATATACTAGCCCAATTTAACTTAAGCAATCCGTGATGATGTTCAATTATAATCAACAAAAAGCACAAGAAGGGATGACGAAAAGGATTTTGGGTCTAACCTCGTTTCCATTTTATTTGCAAAGACTAATGCCATAAACATGCCGGACACTCTTCTCCATAGCTTGGATCCCTGCTCCTTTCTTCTAATACTTATTTTCAATCTTCAAAATTCAAAAAAAAAAAAGAAAAAAAAAAGACTGGTTTAGATGATAGCTTGGCCGAAAGAAATATGGAATTTGGGTACAAAGAATGGAGGATGAAGATGACGAGGGAAGGAATGGGATGAGTTTGGGTAGGCCAAAGTCACTTATAGTTTAATTAATTAGTTTCTTAACTTTTGCATGTGCTAGTGTTGACACGTTGAAATGCATCATCAATACTTGAATTTTTTTAATCAATTGATCCTTTATTGTCCACAAAGCAACGTGTAGGTAGACAAAATTTATAGAACCTAACCAAGATCATCAGAATAATAAGCTAAACAACTTTGAAAATTTTATATAGATGGTACGCTTCAAGTGATCAGTGTTAGTTATCAAAAAAATAATAGTAATAATAATAATAATAATTTGAACTAGAACACTCATGTAGGACTACAATGTAAAATATAAAAGTTAATCATTAAAATAATTAAACTAAGAGATTGGTGGATTGGCAAACAAATTAAGATTTATAACCAAGCACTCACCCCATTATTACCCAATTGAATTTCATGCAAACAAACTAATTTTATTAGGATCAATTTTCTAATGGAGAGCTTACCATTTCCTTCTCTATTTGACCGGCCTAAGAGCCCCCCCAAATCAATCACGCTCATTATGCTCAACACAAAAGAAATTTCTCCACCCCAATTCCTTGTGCACCACAGAACCCTTTCGTCTCCTCAATTCTTCAACATTCAAATCCATTATAGGAGTACTAGCAGCAAGAAACAGTAGTCAATCATGGGAAACAGAGTGGCATCGGCTTAAGAAGGAATGTAGGAATTTCGGGAGAATTAGAGGGTAAGATAATTCGGTCAGAGAGCTGCACTGATGGTGATGTATTTGGAATACAAATTAGGCTCGAATAAAGGTAACAATGCTACCCAAATCTTTTGATAATTTGTAGCCGTGAATTTAGCACCAGTTGAGACATGTTGAACATATAATCTAGCTATATTGTAGAATCCACAAGTGCATGTCAGTTTAATGGTTAAAATATGTTAACGGAAGATTGAAAATGGTATATAGATGTAGTAGTCTAGTAGAATCTTAAACTTGGCGATGATTAGAGTTGCATGGGTGGAATTGGAATTTCCGAAAGCCTATTCGAGTAGCCAGCTTTAAGTCTAACTCCACCTTAACGTGGTCGTTATTGTCTGAATTTTGTTTGTTTTCATTCTCTATGATTTCAGGTTTATATCTCTTCTTACAAATTTGATTGAATGGTTTATAGATCTTTCAAAATTTTGATTATCTTCACTGTTTGATTTATGAAAATGCAGAAAAAACTAATTCGAGTTATTCTGTCGTCAGGCCAGTTTTTCCTTGCTCTTGTACTCTTTTCCAGAAATCGTTTTAATGAACCTCTTCTTCGTTTGGTGAAGTTCAACGCTGTTTTTATGGATTGCAAAATGGATTTGTAATTTTTCAAGAAACTCGATTTGAAAATGTCTGCTTAGTTACTAGTATTCTGGTTTGCGTGACGGTTTTCAAGATTCTTCTCCTGTCTCCTGAACTGTTTTATGAGAATTATTTTGACAAACCTCAAATATGCTGGATGAGGTATACTATGGTTCTGACGGATTGTTAATGGACTAACGGTTTGTCCAAAGTTTGGATTTCAACAGGACCAATAAAACTTTGTATTTTCTGAAAATTTTCAGTTCTGAAGTGCTCTATTCGTGCTCCTTTTCCTCCTATTTTTCCAGCTCCTTTTGCTAATTTCTTTGCGTAAAACTCTTCTTTGTTTGTGTTGTTTCATAATGGTTTTGAAGGCCTGCAAATTAGATCATTAGTTTGACCATTTACATGCTTTGAATATGATCCTGTTACCTATTTTGCTGAAATTTCAGAACTTGAAACAAAGAGAAGTTGACCTTGAGGTTTTGGTTTTCCTTGATCAAATACCTTTGCTCTCATGAATTTTGTCGCTATGATTCTTAGGTCATCCAAGTATACATGGATTATTTTGGATTACGGAAATGTCATCACAATTTTTAGAAATTCGCAATTGGAACTAAAGGATTAGAAAATCCTATTTTCTGAAATTTGTGAGTACTTGCTACTTCGAAACTGTTGCATGTTCTTGATTTCTCATTCACGACACTTACTGCACTACTGAACTCAGAGCATCCTAAGCATGCTTATCGTTTGTCATGGCTAATGTTTCTGTTTAAGCCATTTGCATGTCATTTAGATTGAATGTTTAGGAATGATTAAAATGGAAGGTCATCCCAAATGACTTGTATTATTTGGAACATTAATTGTTTGTCTCCTCACCTAGTTAACAACTCCGTAAGCAGTGAGACCTCAGTGAGCGTGCGTCTCACCCCAATCACACATTTTTTTCAGATTTCAGTATCAACTGGAAGCTAGAAGCTTGGAGCGACTAGTGCATGGTTCAGGTTTGAGTAGAGTCTATTGGGAAAAAAGATAATATGATCAGGAAGAGACTTTACTCTGTGTTCCTCTTGCTCGGTGTGTTTGGCCCTCTGCACCTGACGATGGCAGACCTCCTACCTACTTAAACTATTTGCTGGTCAGCTACCTGTTTCCTCTTCAACTATATGCTTTCCACATCCGCGATTAGAATTGAACTCCCAATCTCGCAATTAAAGATACAACGTCCTAACTATCAATGAGCGATCTGATTCTTCCCGATTGATTTCCAAATGTACTAAATGATTTTTTCATTGAAATGCATGATCAATGCTTTGAATTTTTTATTTAATCAACTGATTGATCCCTCATTGTCCACTGCCTTGAAACATGATAGAAAACCTTATTAGTTCAACATTAATTTGAACCACTAGAGTGATTTTGACAAATTGTTAAAAATCACAGATTCTCTCTCCTGAAATGATTGTTATACTAAAAAAATTTAAATTTGAATTAAATTTTACTAAGAAAATTTAATCTAGATAATTATTTTGGAACATAAGAAGTATTATTTTTACCTGCTACATTAAGGGTTTCTTGCAACATAATTTGAAGCATGGATATCAAAACCTATTTGTTCAAAGAATTAGATGATCATTTCGAGACGGATGAAGTATTTAAAAAAACAAATTGAATTTCCCGAGCTTGAAGAATAGTGAGTTCACAAAATAATACTCTCTCCATCCCACATGATTGTTTCGATTAGAATCTTAATTTTAGTCAAATTATACTAAAAATTAATTTTGAATCGGACAATAAATATGGGATAGAGGGAGTATAATATTAGGTTATTATGTCTTGTTTACCTCTCTCTCAATTTTATTTAATTGTAATTCTTTGTTGAGCTAAAAAGCTTGTTTACATAGTGATTAAACATAGAACTTTCACAACAATATTCCAGCTAAAAACTAATCAAAGTGGTCAGGCAAAACAGAATTTCACATATAACGTATAATTAAGATTTAATTACAATTGTACGAAAGTTTGATAATAATTACCATATTACAAAATTTGCACGTATGAAATCATTTTGTATAGGAAAGCATTTGAATCACCCTAAAACTAGTAGTAATTGGACAGTACTAGAACACTATAGTAGAAATTTAATAGGCAATGTATAACTATCAAAATAGTTAAAAAAAATTTAATTCATAACTTCGATAAAGTCCTTATTATTCTCTAATTAACGTAGAGTAATTATAAAAAAAATAATAATCTACATAATGATGGTACCTACTTAAACCTTGAATAGCAAATATGATTCCATTGTCAATCTAGACATTAATTATTTTTTTTTTTGAGAAACTAAATTAATTAATTATTAAATTCTCGAATAGATTGGTTTTTCCATTCAAATGTTAAGAGGAATAAATAAATAAATACATTATCGATAACCACTTTCCCACATCCAATCATCAAACAATCAAGAAAACTGATTTCCCCATGACCGTACTTCTATCCCTTTTCTCTCTTTCATAACGCCTCTTAAGTTGGAATAATTGTTACCATGAAGCAAACATTAAACGGTATCGGCAAAGATTACATCTTAAGGTTCGTATTGAACATTCGAACTCCGTTGTTTTCCTAGTTTATTTCATTAAATATATTTCCACCATGAATTAATGTAACGAATTGTTCATTCGTTTTGTTTGTTTGATGCAAGGTTTGATCAATCGTTCTGTGCATTGGAAAGCTTGAAACATAATTTTTCCTTAGGTTCGTGCAATTAATAGCAACTAATTTCAGCTTCAACAACCGAGACTCAACCACGGTATGATTTGTTTCTTTATTATATTTCTTGTGTTTTTTCTTAATCCAATTTTTTTTTCTTCTTTTTGTCTTACAATTTTATGGAGTTCAGTTGAATTAGTCTTGAGGAATTGATCTATTCAGGAGGTCAAGATTCTAAGTGTTTTCTAACATCATTTGTGCAACAAATTAAAAAATCACATCAGGCCGGTTGAGATTTCCTAGAATCAAATTTGGAAT